ATTCATAGCTGCCTGTAGTTGCAATAATTGGTCACCTTGCATTATCGCGGCAGTTCCTGTCCCTATTCCGGCTGCTATTCCTCCAATTCCGAGTAGTAGAGCTACGGTCATGCTGATGGGTTCTCTAGGGTATCGTTTTTGTCCCTCAAGGTGTCCTAGGACATAGTCTGACCCTAGATATGATATTTTAGGCCATAATTGTATTAACACGCAAAAATCAGTGGGGGCTTTGAGGACTGCCGTAGAAACACAAGGGGTCAATCCAGTATTGCAGGCCCAGTAAGTTCCGTGGGGACCCCACAAATAGTTATTTTGTGAGCCTGTCACTGGGAGGGTAGTATTACAGAGATGTTGGTGTGATGGGGGTACGTTCCCTATACAGACCCCTTGTCCTGTCACTTCGGTGATGGTTAGCTTATGGCTTGGTAGAGATACACATTTAGGGTCAGGGTTTGTACTACTGTTCCAGTTGGACTTAATTGCTATCCCTTCATAATAGGGTGGGCTGGAGGTGAGACACAACCAACAATCTTGGGTACGATTTGGGTCGGTGACATTGAGGGCATAGAAGGCTCCTTGAATCAATCTTAATAGCCGGTCTCCGGTCCCAGGGTGAGTGGGCTCAGGGGAATAAGTTGTGGGAAACTTCTGTGAGCTTTGGGGCTGTTTGGGCAGCGAGGGGATCCTTTGGTCTTCTAATACAGAATTAGGTCCTATCGGGCTAATCATAGCTGGAGTTAGGGATAGTCTGATTCTGAAAGTGACACCGGGATCGTATCCAATCATATACCATCTGAGTCCCCATGTTCTCCCAGTAAGCCAGGGATCAATAGTCTTTCTGCCTTTGTCTGTGAATTGTATCTTAAGGGGTAGAGACTTGCCTGAATTAAATTGTTGGCTTCGAGAGTAGCAAGTAAGGGGGTCTGGGTTAGGGTTAGTAAAGTTTTTGGCTACCTGAATGAGGTCCCAGTTTGAGGTGGGGCTCCAGTATGCATCTCCTGTGGTTTCACAGCCCCAGGAGGAGCAGAAGTATGCTTCAGGCCCCCCACATTTGTATGCCTGGGCTCAATCTCTACCATCCCGGGGGCAGACATAAAAGTCCGCTTGGGCTAGCCGGCATCTAGCAGTCGGGATAGAGCACCCTGGATTGGCAGAGGCTGGGACCATAACCGGACTGAGATGTTGATGTGACTGGGTCGGAATGTCCCATGTTTCTAGTCCAGCGGCTAGTTGACAAAAATCCGGGGTAAGTGTGGGCCACCAGGTGCCAGGAGCATGGGTTGCTGTTATAGACCAAACAATCTCCCCAGTTTGAGAGTATACCTGCCAGGTTAACTTCATGGGGGTATGGGGGTTACTACCTAAGACAAGGGGAGCAAAGCAAAGAGCAAAGGCGGTTAACAGCGCGTAAGTCTTATCTTTAGCGGGTTTTGGGTACGTTGTAACTTCCATCCCGATTCTTGATAGGTGTCGGCTGATTTTAACGGCTGAGCAGTTTTCACGTGGGAAGCGTGGATCCAAGCAGCAATACCGTCCACCTTGATGGCGGTGGGGGTGGTCAGCAGGACAGTGTAGGGTCCTTTCCACCGAGGTTCGAGGTTCTTGCTCTGATGTCTGCGTACCCAGACGGTGTCCCCGATTTTGAAGGGATGTGGCACCGAAGGGGTTTTGTGTTCTTCTTTATATGCCGCTGCTAATGGCTTCCAGACCTCGTTCTGGACCAGTTGTAGTGCACGCAAATGAGTCTGCACAGATGGGGTGAGGGAGGCAGAGATTTCAGTTTCATAGAAATTAACAGCAGGTGGTGGGGCACCATATAGGATTTCAAATGGGGTTAGTCCCTGAGGGCTAGGAGTATTTCTGGCCCGATATAAAGCTAAGGGTAGGAGTTGTACCCAGTCTCTAGTGCCAGTTTCAAGCGTTAATTTAGTTAAAGTCTCCTTGATTATTCTATTCATTCTTTCTACTTGCCCTGAGCTTTGGGGTCTATATGCACAATGTAGCTTCCAATTAATCCCCAGCGAATTGGCCACCGCCTGACTTACCTGGGAGACGAAGGCAGGCCCATTATCCGACCCAATTGTCCCGGGTACCCCATACCTTGGAAAAATTTCTTCCAATAGCTTCTTAGCAACGGTTTTGGCAGTTTCATGTCGGGTGGGGAACGCTTCTACCCATCCGGAAAAAGTATCAACGAAGACTAGAAGATATTTATATCCATACATACCAGGTTTGACTTCAGTAAAATCTATTTCCCAATGTGTCCCGGGTTTATGTCCTCGAACCCAGACTCCTGTCCCAAGTTTGACTTTACCAGCATTTACCTGGGCACATGCCTGACAATTTTCTGCAACCCGCTGGAGGAGTCGATCCCTATTTGGAAGATATAGAGTACCCTCTCCACGTTCTTAGAGTTCTTTCATCTTTTTAGCCCCAAGATGTGTCAGTTTGCGTAATGATTTTATTAATTTTTTTGCATTCTTAAGGGGCATTATGGTTTTTCCCTGATATTCCCAGGTATGGTCCTCTGGGTTGTAAGAGGCGTGTAGCTTCTGTATGATATCCAGATCTTGGTCCTCATAGACCCATTTATCCTCACAGTCATCATGTTGTGAATTAGCCCGTTGGGGCAATAAAGTCATTACCAAGAGTTGAGGCCCCTGGGCTGCTTCTTTGGCTGTCTCATCTGCCAATCTGTTTCCCCTGGCCTCTGGAGTATCTCCTCTTTGATGGCCTGGGCAATGCATGATACTTAACTTTTTAGGCAGAAATAGAGCTTTAAGTAAGGCCAATATTTCAGTCTTATTTTTGATTTCTTTCCCATCTGAAGTTAGCAGCCCTCGCCGTCTGTAAATTTCCCCGTGTATATGAGCAGTGGCAAAGGCATATCTACTGTCCGTATACACATTTAGCTTCTTTCCCTCAGCCAACTTTAAGGCTTGTGTCAGAGCTATCAGTTCCGCCCACTGAGCTGAGGTTCCACCCGGCAATGCACTCGCCCAGATTACCTCAGATTCGGTGGTGATGGCTGCTCCTGCTCGCCGTTCCCCATTGAGCAAATAACTGCTCCCGTCGGTGTACCAGACCAGTTCTGCATCTTTCATAGGTTGGTCCGTGAGGTCTGGTCGGGTTCCTTGTGTTTCTGCAAGAATCTGCTGGCAGTTGTGGGGATTTGCTTTTCTAGGAAGCGGCAGGAGGGTTGCTGGGTTCAGTGTGACCATGGGGCCGAACTGAATCCGGTCCGCGTCCAGCAGCAAGGACTGGTAATGGGTGAGTCGGGCGTTGGACACCCAGCGGTCAGGTGGTTGGCGAATTATTGCCTCGATGGCATGTGGGGTTAACAAAGTTAATGGCTGTCCCAAAGTTAGCTTAGTGGCATCCTTAATTAGGATTGCCACTGCTGCTATCATTCGAAGACATGGTGGCCATCCTGACGCCACTGGATCCAATTTCTTGGACAGATAGGCTACAGGACGCCTCCAGGGTCCCAGTTTTTGGGTTAGGACTCCTTTAGCATAGCCCTGCTTTTCATCCACAAACAAATCAAAAGGTTTGGTAATGTCTGGTAGGCCTAAAGCGGGGGCTGACAGAAGGGCCAATTTAATATGATCAAATGCCAATTGGTGCTCCTCTGTCCAGGTAAAGGGGTTGCTTTGTTTGGTTAGCAGGTATAAGGGGGGCGCTATCTCAGCAAACCCAGGAATCCAAAGTCTACAGAAACCTGCTGTGCCCAGAAATTCCCGTAGTTGTTTAGGGTTCTGGGGAGTTGGTATGCTTGAGATAGTTTCTTTTCTGGCTGTGGTCAGCCATCGTTGGCCATTATGAAGTTCATAGCCAAGGTAAGTAACTTTTGTCTGACAGATTTGTGCCTTTTTAGCCGATGCCCTGTACCCCAACTGTCCCAAAGTTCGCAATAATGTCTCCGTACCTGTAAGGCAATCCTCCTCGGTGGCTGCAGCCAACAGGATGTCATCTACATATTGGAGCATAATTAAGGAGGGGTGTCTTACGCGGAAATCGGCCAGGTCCTGATGTAAGGCTTCATCGAAGAGTGTCGGGCTGTTCTTGAATCCTTGTGGCAGTCTGGTCCAGGTCAATTGACCAGAGACCCCTTCATCGGGATCTTTCCATTCAAATGCAAAGAGGGCCTGGCTTTGAGGGCACAGTCTCAAACAGAAAAAGGCATCTTTTAAGTCTAGAACGGTGTACCAAGTATGGGTGGGAGGCAAGGTGCTGAGGAGATTGTAGGGGTTAGGCACCGTGGGGTGGATGCCTTCCACCCTTTTGTTTACCTCTCTTAAGTCCTGGACAGGCCTATAATCATTTGTCCCCGGCTTCTTAACTGGTAGCAATGGGGTGTTCCAGGGCGATCGGCAAGGGGTTAGAATGCCTTGGTCTAGGAGGCGTTTAATATGTGGCCTGATACCTTGGTAAGCTTCTCTTGTCATGGGATACTGTTTAATATTCACGGGAGTAGCAGTGGTTTTTAGGTGAATGACTATTGGAGGTTGTTGTTTAGCCATTCCCATTCCACCGGTTTCAGCCCAGGCCTCCGGGTAGGATTTAAGCCAATAATTTATGTCTTTATCAGATACAGGAGGTTTATCAAAAAGTTTATATTCATCTTCTAATTTGAAAGTTAGTACATGTAAGGGGGCCTGATTTGGCCCCGTAACGGAGGCACCCCCATTTGTAAAATAGATTTGAGCTCTCAACTTGGTTAATAAGTCTCTTCCTAGTAGTGGATACGGACAATCAGGCACATGCAGAAACGAATGGGAAACTTTACCTGTAGCAAGGTGCACTTCCCTCTTGGTGGTCCATCGGTACGGCTTGCTTCCAGTGGCGCCTTGGACCCACGTCGTTTTGTGGCTCATGGGTCCTGGCGTTCGTGTTAACACCGAATGTTGGGCTCCAGTATCTACTAGGAAGGTTACAGGTTGCCCCCCTACTTGCAAAGTTACCCGGGGCTCAGGGGGGAGCTCCTGGCCCTGACTCCCCTAATCTTCATCCAGGGCTAATAATTGAGGGGTCCGGTTAGTACCTCTTCGGGTATTGGGGGGTTTCTTTGAACAGTCCTTAACCCAATGTCCTTTCTCCTTGCAGTAGGCACATTGGTCCCGGTCTACACGGGGTTTGCTTCGTTCCCTTTCCCTACCTGTTTTATCTCCTCGTTGTCCTGCCTGAGTTACAGTGGCCAATATCTTACTTAATTCTTTATTATGTTTTCGATCTTTTTCTCTTTCTCTCCTTTCTAATTCTTCTCTAAACTTAAGATCTCTTTCTTCCTGCATTTTTCTGATCCTTTCTTCCTTTTCCTCTGGGGTTTCTCTCTTATTAAAAATCTTTTCTGCTTCCTTCAATAAGTCTGCTAGAGTAAAGTCTTGTAGGTTGTCTAACCTTTGCAACTTGGTCCTAATATCTGGAGCGGATTGCCAAATGAAAGCCATAGATACGTTTCCCTTCTGATCCTCACTATCGGGGTCGAAAGGAGTGTATCTCCGATAGGCTTCTTTTAGTCTCTCTAGGAATGCGGTCGGAGTTTCCTCTGAACCCTGGGTGGTTTGTCTTACCTGGGCCAAATTGGTGGGCCGTCGCCCTGCTCCATGGAGACCCGCTATGAGTAACTGGCGATAGAGACGTAGGTGGTTCCTACCTGCATCAGTATTATAATCCCAATCTGGTCGAGTTAAGGGAAAAGCTTCATTGATCAAATTTGGGAGTTGGGTAGGGCGCCCATCATCTCCCGGCACATTTTTACGGGCCTCTAAGAGAACTTTTTGTTTCTCCTCTGAAGTGAGAAGAGTCTGCAAAAGCTGCTGACAGTCGTCCCATGTTGGTTGATGAGTCACTAAAATAGATTCAATCAGGGAAGTTAGGGCTACAGGATCATTGGTAAAGGAGGGATTGTGGGTTTTCCAGTTATAAAGATCGGAGGCAGAGAAAGGCCAGTACTGATATTGGCCGTTAGGACCTCCCGTCTGCTGCAAGGGGAAAGCCCTTGAAGCATCCCCTGGGGTGGTAGGTTCTCGGCGCCCGCGAAGTCTCTTCACCATGGGGGATGGGCCCGGAGGGGCATTGGCGGTTGGGCCCTCTTGTTGTTCTTCTTCTTCTGAGGAAAACTGGATGGGACCTGGAGCTGGTAAAGGTTGGGGATTGTAAGGTGGGGGTTCTTCAGTCATCAGGTCTATAAGAGGTGAATCCTCTGGTGGTAAGACCTTCTTGGGTTTTGTCCCTGCTGGAGTCATGTTTTTGGGCTTATCTAGAATAGGATAAAGCCTAGAGGTTTGAGGAGGGGGTGCGGGTACCGGGATAAGTGGAGCGGAAGGTGGGGGTGGGGCTTCAAGGGGAGAACGGGGGGGAAGCTTAGGTGGAGAGAAAGGGGCGACCCAAGGAGGTGGGTCGGAGGCTAAATCTTCCCAAGTAACAATGTAGGGCACTTGACCGGGGTGTCCTTGAGGACCTTGGGTGAAAACCCGAGATTTCACCTGTAAAATAAGATCAAGGTTAAACGTCCCTTCTTTCGGCCAGCCAACATCGAACGCTGGCCACTCTGTGGTGCAGAGTGTTATCCACCTTTTCTTTTTGATTTCTACTGACCGGTTGTCAGCCCGGTTCCGGACGTCCTGCCAATAATCAAGAGTAAGACTCAAGGGAGTTGTTATAGATTGTCCCATGTTAGTCTCAGGTGGAACGAGAAAATGCAGAGGCAAGGAGACAGATACAAATCAGACAGGACACAAAACACAAAGAACGCTGCGCGGCTTCGGCACAAACCGAAAGTATCAGATTCAGGTTAGGGGGAGGAGGAACTCCATCCCCCACCAAAACAGAGTACTCTTCAAAAACACTTGAGGCCCCAAAAATTGGGCCCTCCGGATCCCTGGGACGTCTCCCAGGGTGGCAGGGGAGAAGTCCGAGTTCGTCACCTCCTTCTCAAGCTGCCCAGAATACAGAGCGACTACGCGTAATCGTACGGACGCCGCGCACAGACAGACAACGATCGGAGACTGCAAACAGAGAACAAAAGAAACACAAAATGACACGAGCTGGCCAGCTTACCTCCCAGTGGTTGCCGGGCGTTCCTCGGGCAGGGACTCGAACCGGGGCGCGGAGGGGGAGGGGGGATCTCGGTGGGACCTCCAAAATGAAAGACCCTCCGGCTCCCTGCTCAAGGAAAAGCACACTGGCTGCAAAAGCAAGAGGCGATTTATTGCTACACAGGTGCCTGCGGGTGCTCAGCGAAACCTCAGCCGGAGCTTCGGTGAACTGGCACACCGGGCTTTGGGGTACAGATCTTTTATAGGGTA